AGTGCTCACTGCTCAGTGCTCACTGCGCCGTGCCCACTGCTAACTGCTCACTGCTCCCCGCTTGACTCAGTGCTCACCGCTCAGTACTCACTGTTCAGTGCTCAATCAGCGCTCAGCCACTGGAGGGTCGACGCTCAGCCACGTATGGCCAATTGATCAGCGCCGCCCGCGCTGCTGCCGCCGCTGCTGTGTGGGCGGGTTACGTGCCGCTGTTTTGGTGCCAATAATACCTAACTGAATCGAGCAGTTTGCTCAACTCCGGCATGATCACTGACCATTGACCGGTCTCTTGGGTCGGTCATTGGTACATTTACTACTGGCGTGGGTTGACCACATCGTGTATGAGTAAAATACGTGTATAAATCAGTTTAAAGGGAATAGTTAACTTTCACGAAAATAGTTTTCTTGCAATGGATTTATGTTTTTCATGCTCAAAATGATCAGCAAAGAAAATAGAACCTTATAAAAAAGTATTTTCTATATTTTGATAGGAAGGAATAACTCATCAGTTTTAAAAGAGGGAAATGACCCCTGTAAGGCACACATTTCTCAGCAAGGTGCACCTTTTTCGGGACGAGAAATGGAATATCTTTGCCTAGGGTAATCGTTGGGCCGTAAAAGCTCCTGATTTGTGCTTGTCTTAGCTCAAGCTACGGAACTGCTGTTCCAGTTCAACATCCCATGTTAACCCTCGCCCGCACATGCCATTTTCCCATCCTAGAACGCACATGGGGGGGGGGGGTGGTTGCCACCCCCCCCCCCCGCGCCATTTCGTTCCTGTTGAAGATAGAGCTTAGCGGTAAAGACCGAAAAGATTATTTGGGAAGAGACTAATCCAATGATACCCAGTTTTACCTTCTCAGGTCAGTCATTGACCTTCCAGGTCAGGTCAAACTAAAAAATGTTGCTGTTTTGGGTCACCGTTGGATATCAAGTGCGCTGCTTATCATATACCGATGACGATGCCGTTTTCTGGTGCCAAGCCAGCTAGAACCTCTTTGTCACACTACCCGACCAGGTTTTTGCTGCTGAGGTCATTTCAGGTCAAGTTAGGTCAAGGTCAATTATATGTGTTTGTATGTCTGTGTGTGTCTGTGTGTATACTGATGTGTGCACCGATTGTTTATGTGTCCATATTACATGAAATCATGATCTGAGAAGCTTTTACCAAAAATGCAGTCAAAAAAACTTAACAAAAAGTAAATTCCGCTTGCCTAAAACGCAATTATCTTAGATGACCTAGGTTGACCTTGACCCTGACCTTCACCTCTGTACATCGTCGAACAACATGTTCCATGATAGGTGGGAGGTAATACTGGCAAAAAAGGCCGAAATCAAGGTGTCAAAAGCTCACAAGGCCTATAGCCAACGCAAGATGTTGAGAATTGGCCATTTGGGTCATGACATGACCTGAAAAACAAGGTCATATCTCCGAAACCAAAAACCACAGAAACTTGAAATTTTCAGTGGACATCAAGAAAGGACAGAGGAGCAGCTATACGAAAAATCAGCCTTCTAGCTCTAAAAATGTTGAGTGCAGAGCAGAAAGACTACCTGGGGGGGTGGTGGCAACCACCCCCCCCCCCCCCCATGTGCGGGCGAGGGTTAAAAGCGAACTATTTCCTTTAATTCGAAATAAATTTTATACCAAATGTAATTTGTGACAGTGTTCAGGCTATTCGGGTAGCTGACATATTCGGCCCTTCAGATTATGTGAATTTTGCCGAAGTTTTCAAGTAAATCTATTTTACATTTTTGTTACTGGCAGAATTGCCGTCGCTGTGTGTAAGGTGAATTTCTAGTAGATGAATATTTGATCAATAGCGCGGATGCAGTAATAATTTCCGCCGGCGTGGCGGGATCGATCAATTGATGAGCCATCTGAGATCCTTTTCTGGCCGCCCGCCGGTCTGGTCTGCGGCCAGTGCAGGTCCGCCCGGCAGGGTCTCCGGTCGTTCGGTCCGCCCGGCACGGTCTCCAGCCGTTCGGTCCCCCCGGCACGGTCCCCGGTCGTTCGGTCCGCCCGGCACGGTCTCCAGCCGTTTGGTCCGCCCGGCAGGGTCCCCAGCCGTTAGGTCTGTCCGGCAAGGTCTCCAGCCGTTTGGTCCGTCCGGCACGGACTCCAGCCGTAAGGTCCGTCCGGTCCATGGTCTGCCGCTGCAGCTGGTCTTTATTCTCCGCCCGGACAGGACCAGGGCCCAGTGAACTCGGGCGGAACTTTAGGGCCGATAAAGCCCGCAAATGGGCGCGGATCGATGGGCGGGCCTTTGTGACACAGACGGTCGGTGCCACTCAGAGAGGGCGTAAACCGGTCATCGCCTGCCGAGTTGGGCCGGAGACGCAGCTGATAAAAACGGCTAATGAAGAAAACTGCGTGCCTCTCGAAACGTACCTTATGACCTTCAATAAGATGAATATCTGTGGATGTATTGGACAGAAAAATAGCACCTATTTTGTTTGGTGTTCGTCATGTTGTCCTTACTGTAGCTTTTTCAATGTCATCCTTGCTCTCCAGCTTTCAGTTAGATAAGTCACAACTCATCTCGAGACGACATACGTGTATACCGTTCTTGCCTAGATGAACACAGTAAGTACAAATCGACTGTAACTGGCAGATGTTACTATCGGTCGGGTCTTATAGATACACTCTCCCCATATCCCGCAGTGCTCTCTTCTGCAGCCTCCACGGTTCACGCCGGCCCTGACCTGGGTCGGGTCAGTGGTGACGTCACTATATTGCAGACCGGCGCTACGATTGTCAGTAAATAGCCCGACATCAGTATTGTGACGTTTTTTTTCGAAGGATCTGTTCGATAAATAAGTTATTGCAACCTTTGCATCTTCATATCATTTTTCATTACGTTCTGTATCCTTACCAGCTTCGCCACCTCTATGCCGAGTCATCGGTGTCTGTTTTTGCCGTCCGTCGGGGCCCGAGGTGGCCGATCTGAGGCCCCGAGACGGAGCCGGACCGCAGCGGAAGCGCGCAGCCGCCTCGGCCGACTGTAAACGAGGCCTTATTCAAATGGGCGGCACCGGGTGTCAACAACAAGGCTAAGAACGGGGACCGAACTCAGCGTCAGCGTAAACATCAACGGCGTGCGGCAGCGCCGTCATACAGGACTCTGCCAGAAGTGCGGTCTCTCAGGTCACCCAGTGCACGGAGCGTGACACACTGAGGTGATCCGACATTTGGTGACCAAACGGGACTCAGGCTGGTTTATGGTTATCGCAAGAACCACAGCAGATTCTATTGTTAACTGTAGGTATAGCTAAAATTCATATTAGAATTCCGATATCCGATCAAGCTAAATCTATCGATTCAATTGTTCCGCTACATAATTTGGCTGATCATCGAGCACATCTATCGTTAGGAAGAATATAGGGGAGAATGGGGTGGGTTGTATCAGTTTTTACTCCGAGACCCATAACCTCGTAACTATCCGTGATAAACTCATTATTTCCATACTATCTCCTTCCTTGATTCTTCTGCTTTTTTGTGCAAAGTAACTTTTCCGCTACCTCTTCCAGTTTTTCTTCTACGGTCTGCCGAATAGAACAATGTTTTTTATACAACTTGCCCCATGGCTTGGGTGAGTTTATCACATGGTGGGGTAATTTGTATCACTAGTTCACGTTTCAGGGAGTGTGCTTGCTACTGGTTTTGAACATAACAACAACATTAAATGGGGTTAATACAATGTACATGCTCAAAGGCTTCACTTTTATTAGACCAAACTTAGGTCAATCCGAACGAAACATCGAAACGAACGAAACATCAACAGACTAGACGCAAAAGTGACCCGCTAAGAGCAAAGAAGCCAACACATTGTGCCGAAATGGATCGAGTATTGACTAGCTACCTACAAACGCGAGCCAGGGCTTAGCTTTCGCGATCAAAAGCAACATACCCATACACACCCATACATACATACATACATACATGTTACAACATACCCCACCCGGCTCTGATACAACATGTACCTCGCCGCCATCTTGGGAAAACATTCTCGTGCTCAAAAACAGCGGACAGCTGGAGAAATCCATTTTCACTCACGCAGCCTTAGAACCTACCCTCACCACCGCTACGGAGATCTTTCAAATTCGTGCACATCTAAATGCCCAAAACACACATTTTCTTGCAACTTATTTTTTTAGAATGACATTAAAAAACATAAAATCGGCTCTCACCTCGAGACGCGTCCACCCAGCCACGCGACAGAACAGGGAAAGATGGCGACCGGAAAACCTCGTCGGCTGGTCGTGTCACGATCGCCATCTATTGGATAAGTTTGGCACAATTCGCCCTGATACAACTTGGACATGATACAACTCTCCCCGCTCTCCCCTACCGCTAATATTTGTGTCTTAAAGTGACCATGCCACCGTAGCATTACTTTTGAGTTGAGATAGCCAAATTGGGGTTCCTGGCTCGCACTTCCCGGTTTGGCGCTCACAACATCGAGAAAGGCATTATTTAGGAGACATATGATTTCAAAGTTGCAGCACTTTGGTTTCAGAGGGGCTAATGCATTTGAATGTCCCTTTGAATTTGTGACGTCAGCGCAGATCTAACGATTTTAAAAGCTTATACTAACATCTTTGTGAAGCAGTGGTGGTATATGCTGTTTGAGCGCAGCATCTGCCGCACTTTCGAGATACCAAATTATTTTTGGGACGTCGAAGGTACAGCGAATGCTCCGAAAAATAAACAAAAGTAATTGTCTAATATCTCAAAAACCAGTTTATATTTTTCAATGAAATTTGGTAGATATTCATTTTTGCTCAATCTGAACCATGAGACACCACTTTTATGCCAATTCATTAATTTTTTGAAGGTGGGATACAGATTGGCCCTTTAATTAACTCATAGCAACCAATAACCCATTAGCCAGTGCTCGTATTTATATCCTAACAGCTTAACGTCAATGACACGATTCGGCCTGTCCATGCTTCCCACCCCGGATACGGCGAATAACGGGCTTCTTCTGTGCCGACAGCGGCTGCAGTGTAGAGGAACAAAACGACCGACGGCGGTGCCTGGAATGGCTGGGTTGACGCAGCGCTGAGGAACGAGTTCCGGCGGCAGCACCGAAACACGACCGACGACAGTACCGGGGTTACGACGAGGAAACAACGTCGAGGTACGACAGTCGACAGTGCCGTAAGGTACGACAAACAAGCAGCATCGTGGTGCGATAGGCGACAGTGCTAGACTACGTCAGTGAGAGGACACGACCAGTGCCAGTGCCAGAGTACCTCTGACCTACCAACCGCGCTGTCGGTACGAACGGTTGCGTTATCGGTGCGACGGGCCGGCGGCGTCGGCTGTCGCTGACGACGATGCGCGATGCTCCGCTGGCGGCCGTGGCTGCCGCCTTTGCTGCCGCTCCTGTCACTGCTGACGCTCCTGGTGCTGTCGGACCTGACCAGCTCCTCTCCGACCGCCGCACCCACGGAGACCGGCGCTGGGTGGAGCCCGCCGGCGCCAGGTCAGTGACGATCCCGGGTACCTACAGCAGCCCCACGTATTTACCATTGATAGTTCAACCACGGGTGCTCATCAGAAAAGAAATCGAAAGAAAATAATTGGCAGAATTTAGGTTTTCGATGTATTTTATCTGCTGGAGACATGCGGTTGAGGTATGACCGGTAACTATACGTTTGTGTACATACTGCAGTGACTGTGCTAATGTAGCTGTATCTGGTCCGTCTGCGTTGGCTACGTTCGAGTGCTCTGTGTGCTCCGTCTGTGTGTTTGCAGTCGGTGTCTGTGTGTTTGTAGTCTGTGTTTGTTTGTGTGTGCAGTCTGTGTCTGAGTGCTTGCAGTTGGTGTATGTGTGTTTGCAGTCTGTGTCTGTGTGTTTGCAGTGTGTGCGCTTTGTGTGTGCCCTGTGTATTCCGCCGGCCACTCCCCCGCCCGGCCGGCGGGCGGAGAGCGGTCCGGCCGGCCGGCCCGGCTCGTTACCAGCCCATTAAGGCCCGTCGGCGGCGCCTATCTGCACTGCGCGGCCGATTTCCGCCCCGCCCGGCCGGCCGTGGCTATCGCTCTCCCGCGCTGCAGAACCACCATACAGGAATCGACACACCGTGTCACGGGCCTTCCGCTTCCCACTGGATCGCGGCGATCTAGAGTGGATGCCTACGAGCATCACCATAGTCCATCAGAGTACCTATATCCGTGATAAAGATACGAGCGTCCATAGACGGCATAACTGATGTTATCTATGGAACGTCCAACATATTCAGAATCATTTTTTTTTTACAACACTACTTATATGAAAGCGCCCGTTGTAGCACAAATACTAATGATCATTAAGTCGTTTTCGTTATGGCCTTCCCTTTTGTTGCAGTGAATCACTTGACGTGCTACTTCTGCGAAAACGTCGAAAACAACTACATCTGCAACCGGTTCGCCATCGACCACCCGTGCCCGGCAGGTCAGTGCAGTGCGCCATCGACCATCCGTGCCCGGCAGGTCAGTGCAATGCGCCATCGACCATCCGTGCCCGGCAGGTCAGTGCAGTGCGCCATCGACCACCCGTGCCCGGCAGGTCAGTGCAGTGCGCCATCGACCATCCGTGCCCGGCAGGTCAGTGCAGTGCGCCATAGGCCATCCGTGCCCGGCAGGTCAGTGCAGTGCGCCATCGACCCAGGGGCTTAGCCAAGGGGGGGCATAGGGGCCATGGCCCCCCTGGAGCCCAAAAGAGCCCCCATCGCGGTGTCATAAGTACGGTAAGGGGCACAATAAAAGTAGCGTAAGGGCCCCTCGGGGCACTCCACTGGGTTCGCGGGGCCTTTCGGGCCTGAGACCTTGCCGCTAGGGCCCTCTGGGCTCTCTTCATTGGTTATAAAAGGGCCCTTCGGGCCTGAGGCTTTGCCACTGGGCCCCTCGGGCCCTCTCCATTGGGTTCGCAGGGGCCCTTCGTAATTTTAAGGTAGTTAAGCAAATAACTACGTCATGAAATTAAGAAAATGTTGACCCCTTCGCTCACATGGGCCCCTTTCGGTCTGATTGGCCCCCCTGAGGAAAATCCTGGCTACGCGCCTGGCCCTGTCAGGGGTCCTTAATATGCTCAGAGAGTTTTCCTGTAGATCAGAGGACCCGTCACGCGCGCTCAGGGGCCTCTTCATGCACTTAGAGGGCCCTGTCGTGTACTCAGAGAGCCTTTCTGTGGCTTAGAGGGCCCCGTGAAGCGATCAGGGGCCCCTCCATGCGCTCAGGGGGCCCTGTCGTGCATTCAGAGGGTTTTTCTGTTTCTTAGAGTGCCCTCGTCAAGTTATCAGGGGCCCCGTCAAGCGAAGTTAAGACCTTGTCACTGGGGCCCCTCTGGGCCCTTTCCATTGGTTGTAAAAGGGCCATTTGGGCCTGAGACCCTGCCACTGGGCCCCTCGGGGCCCTCCATTGAGTTCGCAGGAGCCCTTCAAGCCTGAGACCTTGCCGCTAGGGCCCCTCTGGGCCCTCTTCATTGGTTATAAAAGGGCCCTTCGGGCCTTAAGTTTTGCCACTGGCCCCTCGGGGCCCCTTTCCATTGTGTTCGCAGGGGCCCTTCGGTTCTCTCAGTTCTAACATTTTTTTCATTTTTTAAATATTTTTTTTAATTTATTTGGGCCCCCTCCAAAAAATAGTGGATGAAATCCGATGACTTTTTGGATTTTGAGGGGGTTTACCTTGGGCCCCTGTAAGCTTGGCCCCCTCCTGGAGGAAATCCTGGCTACGCCCCTGCATCGGCCATCCGTGCCCGGCAGGTCAGTGCAGTGCAGTAGTGTGGAGATGGATTCAACCCCACAGCGGTCCCTGTTCACTGATATAATATTTATTCTTTCCATCCGATCGGTGCATGCTGGCATTGTTTCGGGTAATTACCTCTTACAATTATTCGGCAATGGGAACTGCTCTTCCTGACCCGTCATATCGTCGGCAGAAGCATATAGTGGTATGCTATGTAAGTACCTACTCCGTTCCACTGTGTGCCAAGAGTCGCTGACATGAGCAGTGGGCACTTACCGCTGCCACCGCAAATATACACGTACCGCATGACGAATAGGAGAGGAGAGGAGAGGAGAGGAGAGGAGAGGAGAGGAGAGGAAGGGAGAAGAGAGGGAGGGGGGAGGGAAGAGGAGGGGAGGGGAGGAGAGAAGAGGAGGGGAGAGGAGGGAAGCGATAAGAAAAGTGATTAAATATTAAATCTTCAACCTCCTAAATCGTCCTACTTTGGACAAAAGTAGAAGCTATCTCACTAGAAGTCTCAAGTGTTTGGTAACCGTCCATCATACGCTGATATTCACCCACTTTTCCATTTGCCCTGCTTCCCGATAATTATTCCGTATCAATACGATGACAAAAAACTGTTTTTTTTTTTTTTGTTGTGGGTTTCGGGCATATGATTTATACCGTGGATATATCGTATGCAATGAACGGATTTAGTTTCCACGAGCGGTTGGATGTGAACATTAGCGGGGTTGGAAAAGTTGAAATACATATGAATAATGCACCTGCTCACTGCTTACCATTACGCCCTAGTGATTCTCAATAATCGGGATTCGAGCATTAACCCGCGCCCCGTAGGGGGGGGGGGGGCGAAACGGCCCCCCCTGTCCTTTTCCGTCGATATCTCCTAAACGGCTAGAGATATCGCCACCAAACTTTCAGGAACCCTCCGGGCATCAATTTTACACATTGTGACCAAAAATTTTCCAAAGGCTATGATATGTTGGATCTTCTGCCATTTTCGACCGAAAAAAGACCTTCGCGAGAAGAGCTGTCAGGCCTACAGCTTTGAAGATACAGAAAAATGATCAAAAAACATAAAAGGTGTAGAATTGACAGGGCTATAAAACTGCTATCTCGGATTTTTGACATTTTAGAGTTTTGACCCCCAAAAATCAAAAAAGCATTTTTTGGATATATTTGCCGAAACATCCAAAAAGTTTTTTGAGTTTCGAAAAAACCGGAATATATGCGATAGTACCTACCGTCTTCTACCTACATACCAAATTTCCGATCAATATCTTGTTTTTTGGCCAAGTTATAGCGAAAACACTGTTCAAAAATGATAACGTCAAATTTTCAAACTCAATTTTGGCAATTCTAGACCACGTAGAGCAAAACAAAGACCACCATTAGACTCCCCGTGACGAGCTGCATCGAATCGATAGCCATTTTATGCAAAATATCAACTTTGAAATTTGACCTAATTTGACCTGACCTTTTTTTTTTTTTTTTTTTTTTATAAATTTAGTCCGAATCTTTTGATGGGAAGGATTCACAAGGACAGAGCCACCGCTAAGCGAAGCTTGTTGCGGTGACCCTGCCCTCTACCCTCCGATCGCGCAATTCCAGTTCTATGGCAGAATTTAGAGTCCAAAGTTTCACGTGCGCACAAAGCCGCGCACGGCCGGTCCCCTCACTGACTTCACCTGGCTACGGCCTGCCACCAACCGCAACCATACCTGTCAGGAGGCCCATAAATGTCAAGCGCCCGTCGCGCTTCGAGCCCGGACTGTTGTAACCGGGAACGCGTGCTCTCACCACGCGGAGTCCAACGCCCTACCAACTGAGCTACGGGACCTTGACCTGACCTTCACCAAAACGTGACCTAAGCTGGCCCCAAAGGCTGCCTGACCCACATAATCGCATTTGTCATGTAAAATGGACCATAAAACATGTATCACACGACACTTTCATATTGTGACCCCCAGGTGACCCCCAGTGACCTGACCTCTGTGACCTGACCTGGTATCATTGACCTCAGATAGCGAAGTATGTGTTTGACGAACAATGTACCATCGACGGTTTTCAATAACTTACCAATTTGCTCGATTTCACAACACATTTCTTGAAATGCCTGTGAACGGTGAAAATCCGACCTTTGACCTGACCTGTGACGTCATCGGTTTGACCTAGGTCAATGAAGTTTGGTCACAAGGTAGTTCCCCGGTGGGGCTATCGAACGCCGTTTGAATTTTGAAAATCGACCGGTAAATTTCCGAGATCTTAGGGGGGGGGCGAAACGCCCCCCCCCCCCCTACGGGTGGTAGGGTCCGCCGATAGCCCTACGGGGCGCGGGTTAACTAGGTCTGGTCTGGTCGAACCTGAAATCTGACCGGCTGCTCGGTAGGCGGTAGGTTCATTGCTTTGTTGAAATATGACCTTTTGTGCCTCTTTTGAACGGAAGAGTAGGGCTAGATATTAGTTTGAAGGCTATACTGCGCACGTCTTCGGCGGAGGGTAGAGACCCATCGTGTGGATTGTGGTATAGATCTCTCTGCAGAGGGTGCTCATACAGGGAGAGTGGTGGCCGGTAACGCCCCAGCGCTCCCCGTCCCCGGTCACAACTCGTGCTGATCTCTGATCTTCACTCATCACTGGCGGTCGCCACTCCCGTAACAGAGCGCAGCGGGACGCGGCACATCTGGTATAGTCATTCCGCCCTGTCGTAGAAAGGACACTGTATCAGGATTGTGCCTGCAGTGTTGTCCTGAGTGAGCCGTTCATTGGATGAAACAGCACGCAGTGGCAAGCTGAGCAATGTGCAGTGGCCGCGCTTGTAAATTTGTGAGCTGGTCTTGCCTGGGATCAATACCGGGGATGGAAAGCGGAGGGAAAGTTTCTCAATGCGTCGTCGTTAGTATAGAAGGCTTTACACAATCAATAAGCGCCGATAGCAGTTCCGACCTACCGCAGGTGGCTGAGCACTGAGCGGTGTCCGTCCCGCCGTCCGCAGGGACCACCTTCTGCCGCACTCTGCACATTTCTGAGCACTGAGCAGTGTCCATCCCGCCGTCCTCAGGGACCACCTTCTGCCGCACCCTGCACATCATGGACACCCGCGGCGGCAGCGTGGTGGTCAACAAACACTGCGCCACCGAGGACCAGTGCCGCGACGACCGCGTCGGCTGCCTGCAGCAGGACCACCAAAAGGTAGGAGGGCGGGGTCCGGGAGGACCACCAGAGGGTAGGAGGGCGACCACCAAAGGGCAGGCGGGCCTCTCGCGCCTTTGTACGCCACTGTGTGCCACTGTGTGCTGTTTTGCTTGCGTTCAGCTGAGCGTCTGGTCCCCCTTGGTGACTCGTCTTATCCCCAGCATGGACGTGCGTCTCGTGTTGTAACCAGCGCCGTCTCCGGCAGACGTGCGTCTCGTGCTGCCACAGCTCGTACTGTAACGAGCCGGTGCCCACCAACTACTCCAACGCCGTGCGGCAGCCCAAGCCCACAGCCCCCACTCGGGCCGTCAAGTCGGCCGGCGCGGCGGCGGCGCCCCGACTGCTGCTGCTGCTGGCTGCGGCGGCGTCCCGACTGCTGCTGCTGCTGGCTGCGGCGGCGTCCCGGCAGCTGCTCAGTGGTAGCCGGCAGCTGTGACAGCTGCTCAGTGGGCAGCTGCTCTGGCCGGAAGAGAGCTGGTAGCTGCGCCATTTGGTGTTACACAGTCGCTCTGACCAGACTGGCGACGTGCCGTGCTGCTGACCGCGGAAGCTGCTCCGGTCGGGCGGGGAGCAGCGCTGTGGCAGCTGCAGTGTATGTACACGCTCCGATCAAACAGGAGACATGTTGTGCAGCTGACCGTGTTTGTGACTGCACCGATCGGGCCAGACTGGCAGTCGCACTGCTGAGTGCTGAGTGGGGCACCTGCCTGTGTGGGCAGTCAGAAGCGGTGCTGTTGGTTAAGCTATACCTGTGCTTGGGAGGCCAATTTTACAGCTGTGATGCGTGATACAACTCCACCGGACACAATGGAGCTGTATGGGAGCAGACAGAGCTTGGCATGGGCTGATGCCGTTACGGCATACGTAGACGTGTGAAAGCTCGGCGGACGAAGGGAGCAAACGGCCACGAGGATAACTGTGTGTATCATCCCGGACCAGTGAGGCATTGTTGTGCTTGACTCATGAGTCGAGTCAGAAATTTGACTCAAATCTGACTCAAATGAGTCAGGTTTGAGTCGAGTCGGATAAAATGTTGAGCTGTTGAGTTGAGTCAGAGTTGAGTCGGACAAAAATATTAAGGTGTTGAGTTGAGTCAGAGTTGAGTCAGTAAAATAACTTTTGACATTGCGTTGAGTCAAAAACATTTAGGAACATGAGTCAGCTGACTAATCTTTTTAGAAACAATATATAAGCTTTTCTAACAACTTAGGCCTGGCCCTGCTGCCGGATTCCCCCCCCCCCCCCCACTCAACAACTTTTTTATCTGAGTCAATTTTGAGTCAACACACTTGACTGAACAAAAAAGTTGAGTCAAGTTGAGTCAACTCATACTTTCATTGAGCCGCTTGAGTCATGAGTCGAGTCAAGGGAAAAAATCAGCTCCTTGTTTGAGTCAGAGTTGAGTCAGGGCTTTCTTAAGTTGAATGATGAGTCGAGTCGGCATACTCGGCAACTTTTTTGAGTCGAGCACAACCCTGCTGAGTGAGGCCGCGCGGTAAACGGTCGGTAGTTGTTGGACAGCTAATGGCTCATTGTCTCAGCTACGAGCGGGGCTGTTCCGAGAGAGCTCACATCCCGCTTATTGTTATGCTACTGCTGTTATGTTGTCCCTATTGTTGTAGTGTTTGAATAGAGAATTGTTATCGACGGCGCGTCACCAGCGCAGTCGATAACTCGCCTGAGTGACTGTTCGCTCCTGATGACGTTATTAGGAATCCTGTGGAGAGCAAGGTTCAGGGTGACAATGAAGTCTGTGGCTCGAACTTGGGTTGAAGTTCTGGTAACTCACTACTCAGAATGAATGCATTAACCCTCGCCCGCACATGGGGGGGGGGGGGGGGTTGTTGCCACCCCCCCAGGTAGTCTTTCTGCTCTGCACTCAACATTTTTAGAGCTAGAAGGCTGATTTTTCGTATAGCTGCTCCTCTATCCTTTTTTGATGTCCACTACAAATTTCAAGTTTCTGTGGTTTTTGGTTTCGGAGATATGACCTTGTTTTTCAGGTCATGTCATGACCCAAATGGCCAATTCTCAACATCTTGCGTTGGCTATGGGCCTTGTGAGCTTTTAACACCTTGATTTCGGCCTTTTATGCCAATCCTACCTCCCACCTATCATGAAACATGTTGTTCAACGATGTACAGAGGTCAAGGTCAGGGTCAAGGTCAACCTAGGTCATCTAAGATAATTGCGTTTTAGGCAAGCTGAATTTACTTTTTTTGAAATTTTTTGACTACATTTTTGGTAAAAGCTTCTCAGATCATGATTTCATGTAATATGGACACATAAACAATCGGTGCACACATCAGTATACACACAGACACACACAGACATACAAACACATATAATTGACCTTGACCTAACTTGACCTGAGATGACCTCAGCAGCAAAAACCTGGTCGGGTAGTGTGACAAAGAGGTTCTAGCTGGCTTGGCACCAGAAAACGGCATCGTCATCGGTATATGACAAGCAGCGCGCTTGATATCCAAAGGTGACCTAAAACAGCAACATTTTTTAGTTTGACCTGACCTGGAAGGTCAATGACTGACCTGAGAAGGTAAAACTGGGTATCATTGGATTCGTCTCTTCCCAAAGAATCTTTTTGGTCTTTACCGCTAAGCTCTATCTCCAACAGGAACGAAATGGCGCGGGGGGGTGGCAACCACCCCCCCCCCCCATGTGCGTTCTAGGATGGGAAAATGGCATGTGCGGGCGAGGGTTAAAGGGACTATCCCACCTTCTAAAATGTTGTTAAAACCAGTTAAATTGTGCCCGACTTTATAGATTGGATGACCAGGAACACGGTTCTGGCATTTATTTTTCATTAAACATCTTAGGCTTCCCATATTCCAAACACAAACTTTCAAATATGTGACGTCACAGCCCAAAATTACCTCCTTCCCCAGGCCACATTACTGTCATAAAGCTGATTGCTCTGTAGGCACCACAACAAAGTTCAGACCAAGTTTTAAGCGATTTTTCAACGAACAAACCCATTTAAATCAGAATGACTAAACGAGGTGACGTCACAGTTCACACTAACGGTCGCTCCATGTTGAAGATAGGGCCTTGCGCAAGGCCCATTTTCAAATGAAGGGAACGAATTTCTTCAACACCAAGAGGCCGCGGGGGTTGCAACCTAGATAGATAGTGGTTTCTGAACCTCGCCGCAAACTTGGCTATCTCAACTCAAACCCCATGTTAAAGGTGGGATAGTCCCTTTAATTCATAGCGTGTCTTTTGTCTTTCCCACTGTTATGATCTCATCTAGTAAAACCCATGTTGTTTCTGAGTAATGGTGTAACGCTAAGACCAGTAGTTGCTGTTGCTGGGTGACGTGTAGCATTTGTTTCTCCTGCAACGGATCCTCTCAACAGCCAACTACGCATCGCACCGTGCAGCCTGCGCTCTGTTTACGAGGTCAATTTTATTGTTAACTTATGCGTACATTAGGCATGGGTTACCTTCGTCAGGTATGAGGCATACTGCTTAAAAAAATATTAGCGAGATAGTGCTTAGGCATTACCAACCATAGGATATTAAAATCATCAATCATCTCTGTGATTGCATTGTTCGTGTTCTGACCTTTTTGCTATGCATTGTTAACAATACATACACCTACTAAATATTATTCATGACTGGATAACTACTATGATTATACATATACACTTTATCTATCTTAGCGTCTTTTTATAAGTGCTGTTTCAAAATCGTTCCAGAAGCCAGGACAAACGCCGAATTAAAATCAATAGCTAATTTTAAACTGAGCGAATTATAGGAAAACGGCAGAATGTTACAACTCTCGGCTGATTTATGTTTGGGAAGCACCTATATTCGAAACGTTTTTAACTATGGATGAAGCTGAGTCGGTTGTAGCTGTAAAGGTAGGCCAGGGTCGGGCGTTAAATGACTAGACGACTGGTTGGGCTGGGCAATGTTAACCCTCGCCCGCACATGAGGGGGGGGGGGTGGTTGCCACCTCCCCCCCGCCCCCAGGTAGTCTTTCTGCTCTGCACTCAACATTTTTAGAGCTAGAAGGCTGATTTTTCGTATAGCTGCTCCTCTATCTTTTCTTGATGTCCACTAAAAATTTCAAGTTTCTGTGGTTTTTGGTTTCGGAGATATGACCTTGTTTTTCAGGTCATGTCATGACCCAAATGGCCAATTCTCAACATCTTGCGTTGGCTATGGGCCTTGTGAGCTTCTGACACCTTGATTTCGGCCTTTTTTGCCAGTCTTACCTCCCACCTATCATGGAACATGTTGATCGACGATGTACAGATGTCAAGGTCAAGGTCAAGGTCAACCTAGGTCATCTAAGATAATTGCGTTTTAGGCAAGTGGAATTTACTTTTTGTGAAGTTTTTTGACTGCATTTTTGGTAAAAGCTTCTCAGATCATGATTTCATGTAATATGGGCACATAAACAATCGGTGCACACATCAGTATACACACAGACACACACAGACATACAAACACATATAATTGACCTTGACCTAACTTGACCTGAAATGACCTCAGCAGCAAAAACCTGGTCGGGTAGTGTGACAAAGAGGTTCTAGCTGGCTTGGCACCAGAAAACGGCATCGTCATCGGTATATGATAAGCAGCGCACTTGATATCCAGCGGTGACCCAAAACAGCAACATTTTTTGTTTGACCTGACCTGGAAGGTCAATGACTCACCTGAGAAGGTAAAACTGGGTATCATTGGATTTGTCTCTTCCCAAAGAATCTTTTTGGTCTTTACCGCTAAGCTCTATCTCCAACAGGAACGAAATGGCGCGGGGGGGTGGCAACCACCCCCCCCCCCCCATGTGCGTTCTAGGATGGGAAAATGGCATGTGCGGGCGAGGGTTAATGACAGGAGTAGGACCATAGTCCTGCAGTTTGATCGAGGATTCCATACATTGCGAACACTGAAGCCTGAACTACTCGTCTCCCTCCTCGGTTATTTCAGCTGGCTGCAAGTGCTCTCATCACCCCCAGTCGGTGTGATATCCCGAGTTTCTCTGGCTCCTTTGATGTCCGTTTTACCATGAGCGATGTCGTTGGGGCTGCAGGGGGATAGGACCGGCCCGGTCGTTACCGCCGTGCCGGGCCATAATTCAGAATTGCTCGGTGGGCAAAATGTCCTCCGGGCCTCGTCCATGCACGGTCTGCCGATTTGACAAACGATCCGACTGTTCCGGTCCGTAACGGCTGCAGGGGAGAAAAACAGCCAGCACGGCAGAGGCAGTGTCACACGGCACCAGTCAGCACAGCGTTACACAGGACACAGCACAGCGTCACACAGCACAGACGGCTCAACGTCACACAGCACATACAGCTCAGTGTCACACAGCGCACAACCGAAATAACACAGCTTATAGTATCAGTACAAAGCAATGAAGACAATCTCGACGAGCACGACACCGCATGGCTCTGCGACCTAGACCTACTGGAAGGGAAAGACAGACAGACAGACAGACAGACAGACAGACAGCACAGACAGACAGACAGACAGACAGACAGACAGACAGACAGACAGACAGACAGACAGACAGACAGACAGACAGACAGACAGACAGACAGACAGACAGACAGACAGACAGACAGACAGACAGACAGACAGACAGACAGACAGACAGACAGGACAGACAGACAGACAGACAGACAGACAGACAGAAAGAGAGAGAAAAAAGAGAGACAGAGAGTCAGAGAGACAGAGAGACAGACAGAGAGAGAGAGAGAGAGAGAGAGAGAGAGAGAGAGAGAGAGAGAGAGAGAGAGAGAGAGAGAGAAGAGACAGAGACAGAGAGACAGAGACAGAGAGACAGAGGGAGAGAGTCAGAGAGATGGAGCAGGCAGCCGGCCGGTGACCTTTGTGCGCCGCCGAGTTGGGAGATGACCCCGGGGGGACGGGGGGACGGGGGAGGGTGGATGTCGCCGGTCGGTGCGGCTGATCAGCGACCCAACGGCCCTCGCGGGACGACCGCCGGCGGAGCGAGACGGAGCGGACACCGCGAGACGAAACGGCAGACACTGCACTGGGCCAGAGCCAGAGGGGAGCCATACTGGGCCCGGGGACATGGAGACACGGCCCCAGAGGGACGGCTGGCGAAACAATGAGACACTCGGCTGAGACAAGAGACACGTCCGACACAGGGTCCAGGGAGACACGCGGGAAGTATGGCACTTAGCACATAACACATTCTGTAGAGCATTGGAACAAACACTTAGTCTAAGGCTCCTGTAGGTACATCGTTCCTACTTCTCTTTCTTGTCTAATCTCTCTCTCTCTCTCTCTCTCTCTCTCTCTCTCTCTCTCTCTCTCTCTCTCTCACACACACACACTCACACACACACACACTCACTCACTCACTCACTCACTCTCTATCTCTCCATCTCTCTCTCTCTCACACACGCACAGAAACTCAATTGTCTTTTAGTGCTGGGGCTCTACAGTAATTTCTATTTTCTTTTTACGTCGACCAACAAAGATGTGATCCGATATCGTTTACGGTTCTTTTTCTTGAACAATTTCTATAAAGACAATCAGTTGTGATTGCCACAAACATTTATAGCGGCACAAACGTAAGTTTAAGTGTTGGCGAAATACAGTGTGGTACCCGCCAGAGCGTATTTTAGCTGAACAATGCGACTGAGACCGCTGTTTTTAGATGTCGAAAGCGGTACAACGCAACACCATTCCTAAAGCCATTCAGGGGTTTATTGGTTTCGACCAACGATTAAAGCCTTTTGTTTAGCGCTCAATATACGCTTCTAACCCATTTGTTATTT